TCGCAGTGTCCTCAGGAGGGCGGTTTGTTTACCGATGATGGGGGGGTCTGCGACTTATATATAGTAAGATGCTACCAAAACTGTCCGACTAACTTATTATTTATTACTGCATCTTATCCCATAAGACTATAGGTTTCCAAATTTGAGCACACTTAGTTTTTGTCGACAAAATTATTGGCAAAAATAGTCTCGATTGCAAAAATTCTATTATTTGGACTGAAGACATTATAAGAATTAGAGACAAAAACTAAATTTTGAGTTATTTTACATATGCCAATCTCGCAAAAGGTTTTTTCAATAATTCAAACATTTAGACATCATGGATGCCATTCTATTAGAGCTGACTGATGGAAAGCGCTAGAATATGATTATTCAATGAAAATGGTTTTTCCTAAGGATTTGACATTACTGACTACTATCCAGAGTGAGTAAAAATAAGTATAATACTGCAAAAAATAAAATAGATGATCTTCGAACAACAAAAAACTGCGTGGTCAGCGGAGGCAAAATGATCATTTCGCGGCACTTGCTCGCCACATCAACAGATACGTGGCACGAAACCTGGTCTCTATCATGGAGATGTGGCAATGAGGAAATGGTCTCTTTTAGAATGAAAGATAAGAAGAGATGAAAAATTGTTTTACAAGAATTATTTTATTTTTGGTCATCACGAACATTGCCGCTGTCCTTTTTAAATTCGGAATGAATCAAAATTATTGCAGTGGCTCACTTGTCATTCAGTTATTCTTATGTCAAAAATGACAAGTAATCCATTGCATCACCATTCTACGAATGTTGTACCAAAGTTAATTCAATTCTAGCACACAATTCACAGAAGACTCTGCGTGGAAGTAGTAGTTGACGAGTCCACCGTATTTCTACAGTAACCTATGGATGTTGCAGTCAATTGAAGAACTACAACTAAATAAATAAAGCAGACTTCTCTTTCTACTAGAGTTTTGCATAAATAATCTGTAATTTGCAAAACTAACTAAATTGGGTGCAGTAAAAGAGTGTCACTTCCAAGAAGAATTGAGCATTGTAGAAAAAATGCGGAAAGGTCAAAATCAAGATATTTTAAAAAATTACAGTGCCCCAAAAGAACTCTGGATAGCAAAACTTTCGTGATTACGAGTTACTGAGTAATTTGTTACAACTAAAAGTAAGGAGATAGCTATATTTGGCCTAGATCTGAATAGAAAAATTAGTTGAGCTTTGAATTCGTAGACCTTAAGACGAAAGAGAACTCACTCTCTTTCACCATAACTGAAGTAAAACCGCAGCTTTGGGAACTTGTCGAAGAACGCACTGATAGTCGCTATCAGTGGACGAAACGTGCAAACATCATAGAAAACATCAGAAGCTATGAGAAAATCGAGTTCTGTGATGCTGTCGAGAACGGCGGCTATGCTCTCCGCATTCTGCCAATCTAAGCCCTAGAAATGGGGATATAAAAAAGTGATTTATAGGTCACTCTGTATTAACCTCAAGACTTAGAAAATCAAACCCTCACCTTAACTTCGCATTTATTAGTCAAATGATTTTTCTCGATGTTTTCTCGAAGTAACGATAAAATCTGTAATTTTTAGTTGTTATGAGATCTTCTCTAAAAAGA